AGAAAGAAAGAAAGAAAGAAAGAAAGAAAGAAAGAAAGAAAGAAAGAAAGAAAGAAAGGCTGGCTTCACTTGTTACAGCAATAGCCCTTTGCTGAACGGATCCCAATTCCCATCATCCCCACTTTGTTCCTTTCATGCTCATCTCCAAATTTTGTCACTACTCATTCCCTCATTTTGCTTTCTTGCTGATCTCCTGCCACGACCTTGAGCTGTCTCTTGCCTTTGGTCTCTCCAGCCTTGCTCTGCCTGATCTCTGAAGACTGCTGACTTCAGACTCTCTGACCTGGCCACTGCCTCAGCAGTTCCTCCCAGTCTGCCTTTGCCGCTGGGACGCACGGTTACGCTATACAGCACAGGGCGTCCATTATGCATTGGCTCCCATGAGACTTGAGGGTAATGCAAGTACCCAAATGTATGTGAGAAGTTCAGCCAAACACCTATTTGTGCAATTTGTTCTTTGAATAAAACGACAGGACTTTATATTAATTCTTGGTAAATTTCCATTCTGTCCATTTTTATCCTGAGTTTCTCCCTGATGACATCATATTGAAATGAGCTCATACACAAAAAGTTAGAAAAATGTGTTTGTTTTATAATCTCTTCCCATTTCTAAGGGGTTAAGGGTGAACATGAAATGAACCTGTTCCCATTGGCCCTGGGAATGAGTATCTAGAAGAGAACTTCAGCATGGCTATTCCATTCAATTTGATATTTAAGAGATCAAGGAACAACAGTCCAACCCACTGGTTTTACACACAAGAAGCAAATCTCAGAGAGATTGCTCACTTGCTCCATACAACTAATGAGTGGCAGAGCTGGGGTGAGTCCTTTTCTTCATCCTATGCTCTTTCCTCAGCCTGGTTGTATATTCAAATAAGAGAAACAAAGAGCCATGATATCGTGACCATAGTAATTCACAGCGTTATTCTAGATGCACTAAAGCGCCTCCCAAGGAAGCACAAGCACTCACCTAGAGGGGCGGCCCTGCACCTGTCAACAGAGGGGTGACAGGCCACTTGTGACTCAGCACTGCTCTGGGAGTGGGCAGAGGTGAGGGACACCTTGGGTGTGTAGAGAGATGTGTGGTCCAAGAGGCTGCCTCTGCTCTCCAAGAGGCCCAAGACCCCCTCAGCCACCAAAGGCAGAGGAACAGAAAGACATAGAACAAAGGGAAGGAAACGATCCCCACGACTATGTTCAAACATGATCAGAGCTGACTCCGCATTTAAGAAGAGCGTGGGAGGAGAAAAATAGCTAAATATCTAAATTTTACCCATGTTTGTGCATTTACCCACTAACAGCCACTGAGGAGGGGAGAGACCGGCGAGTGGAAACTGAGGGAACACAAGCAGCCCCACTACCTGCCCTGCCTTCGCCCTCTCGGTTCAGTTCCTCTCGTCCTGTCCAGACTTGGCTCAGGCACCCTCATGGGAACTGGCTGGATCCTTTAATTCACGAGAAGTCAAAGCTAGTATTAGAAGGGGACAGATAGGAAAGGAGGCGAGATTTTTTCAACATCGAGAGTCAAATGGAAGGGGCAAGGTGGGCAGGGCTGCAGGTGCGGTGATGCTGCTGCCACCCTCACCAGGCCCCCTGGATCTGCCAGGGACACAAGAAGGGCTGCGCATCTGCCCCTCAGGCAGACTTCCCTTGCTCGGGGAGTTTCTCAGCACCAAGAGGAGGAAGCGGCTTGTGCGAAACGAGTAGGCAAGACTTGGAGACAGTAGCAGCTGTGCATTCGCCAGGGCACTGCCAAATTCTGGAAATTACCTTGGCTTCATGCCAAGATGGATCGGGTACAGAGAAAAAGAGGAATGGAAGAGGCAATGTGGCCATATGGCCTGCAAATTCTCGTGTTTATTACATAACACAAATTTCCCCATTGTTAATAGAGGATAATTTTATTGTAGGTCATATTTTTAGTTTTATATCATAAACATGAATAAATAAAAGATTTTGG